GGTGTGTTTAGTTCTTCAATCAAAAAAAAAGAATACTAAGAAATAGAAGTACATTGCTTTTATATGTACGAATATATATCTTTGATGAGATATATTTCCAACCAAGAGAATTTTCATTACTTGTCAATTTCATTTCGACTGCCTTAAAGGTGTCATCTGAAAATGAGGTTAGAAATTAGTTTTGTAATGTTGATTGACATAAACATTATTCTATCGAAATAAGAACGAAGACAAGATCTAATTTCCTTGTGAACAATGGTTCGAATTCGTATTGAAGTCGTTTTAAGAACATGATGATGTACGTCTCTCTCTGTCACCTTTGTGATGCAACTTGGGCACTACCTGCGTCATAACGCTTTTCATAGATATGAAAAACAGTAATCATCTGGATACAAAAAGACTTTCCTCCTATGCAAATTCATTTCAATACTTGTACGTATAACTAAAATTTAAAAACATAATTGAGAAAACTTTTATTCTTTTTTAATAAATCTATAACAGTCTTCATATCATCGATGTTAAAATTACGATTGTTATTCCATTGAAAATTCAATGAAATTCTCTTGTTATTTCGTTCCTATGATTAACTTATTTACCAGTAACATGATGACAGTAAAATCGAAGTGAAGAAGTTTTTTTTTTTTGTTTTCTTTTTTCGTTCTTAAGAGAAGAAGAAAAATTTTATTCAGAAAGCTTTAAAATAAAAGAGAAAAAAACATGTACACAATCAGGTATCGATCGCAAAAACACTTCAGTCACTGTACAGTTAAAAACGGATGAAAGGCAAACGAAGTTTTGAAAGAATAGGGTGTGAGTGTGTGAATTCGGATAACAGTGTTCTCTTCATTCTCGGCAACCCTTTATTTATGAGGGAGAAGTCACTTAACACCCGACTATGATACACGATTTTATCTTGATAATAATAATTAGAAAGAAGTTGGTCCGAAATTATTTTCTTTATTGATATTCGAGAAAATTTCACAAGATAAAATTTATATCGAAGGACATTAGCTTGGTATCTTTGTTGTAAGAAAAGGTAACTTCCCGCAACAAGTCAGCTCCATAATATTGAATAAATTCCTTCTTAACTCGCACGGGATTTGTGCGTGACATTGTATCATCTACATCTTTGTATTCGATGTGGAACCTTTTGATAGTTGAGGGTAAAAATTTCTTCAGCACGTCATGCCATTCTGTACCATCAAGAAACTGGGGTTGTCTTCTCGGTATCGGAATTTTTACTTCTCCACGTTCACAAGCAAAGAAGCTCAAAGTAAATAATGTTTGTGGAATAATGAACTGGAACAATGCTTGAAATCGTGCTAACGTCAACGAGTACCCATATACGTTGACGTGACGAAGTGTTGCAGGATATTCCATCGATGTTTTCTCTCTTATTTGATTTAGATAATCCCTAACATATTGTGGAGGTAGTGCCCTTTTCGTATGGAACTCTGTAGTTTCGCTGTACAGTGTCAACGCTTTTAATCTTTGGAATCGATAAAGTAATGGCATCAAACGCTTAGCTTCGAATAGCCAAATTGTCAAACTGACGATTGTATTGTTAACAGTTGTTGAAGGCATATAAGTTATCGCATCGATTCCTTTTGAATATTCTAAGCTTAAATGTTTTAACAATGGTAGTTCTGTGAGTAGATATCCGAATGACTGAGCAGCACGGTCACCAGGCTGGTGGCATTTCATACCACCGAATACAATTTTTAGGTTTCGTAGTCGATCCTTGAAAGCGTTCAATAGCACCGGTATGCTATTTTCGAATTCAGAAATTGGTACGTCAAATAAAGCTAGTGATTGCAATCGTTTTCCACTTGATGAGCCGAAATATCTTTCTAACAAGCTGACATTTTCATATAAGATTGCAACCGAAACGATATTTTGTTCACAGAAAATCTGCTGGAATGTTTTAAAAAGTTTTGTTTTTGTTTGAGTTAAATCGAGATGAATATTGGGTGCATTCGACACAAGCTGGCTGAATTGATTATTGAGACGATAAAAAGACTTACAAATTTCATTTGCAGTTAGATAGTCAAAAATTTCGAAGAACATCTCGGTCGAAAGGTGTTCAAATGTTGTCACTGTACGTGATCCCTTGTGGCGGGCCGAACGAGTATTTCTTAGCTGCGCCATGCCGTTTCGTCGTCAATGCCACGAAATAGGATAAAAAAATACTCTTTCTGTTCTGTCTTATAGAGGCTCGATCGAATCTTATTGTATTATAGGAGAAGCATGGCTATAATTGTGTTCACACGTCAGCAGCTGTAACCCTTTTTTTTCCTTCTGCTTGAATATGGTAATACATAGGAGCACAGTATTCTTTCTTTTGCAATTCAGATTCATTCATGTGAGTTTTTCAAAACGCATGAGCAAGAAAAAGCATTGACTACAAGAAGCCTGCATTGTTTGGTCTAGAAAAAGATCTCCGTTTTTAGAGAAAAGACAAGCAGCATTTGCTAAATATTTCTAGATAGTCCACGATCTTTGCTCATACGCATTTGCATGAAAAAATAATGAGTTGGATACTAAAATCATCCTATGTTGAAGAAGATTGTGCGTGAAGACAAACAGATGCAGTCGATTGTATCACGCACAATTATATTAAGTCTTACTTTTTGTTTCTTGGAAAACTAGAGTTCTTATCACTGCAGTAACTTAGCACGATAACCAGGATACATAAGCGAACACTTCGATAACACAACGCCTATACTGTCTGTATCAACTTCACTTTCACTCATAGGCATGACTGTATTGATTGATTGATTGATTTGAAGCACATTTACTCCTTCGAATTTTTTCGTAAGTGACAGTTCATCGTTCTCTGGCAATATACTGATATGATTGGATATGAGTTGAAGAGGTTTCTTATTTGTATATCTATGCATTTACAAAAAAATGTCCGCTGTCGTGAATAGCCAACAAATGCTAGCAGACATCACATATTGTTTACATGCTTTACTGTGTGCAACACATGTTGAAATGAAATAGAAAAAGAAAGGAGAGAAAAAATTTCAGAATTTTGTAAGCAACACAACAGCGAATCAATCAACACTCATCTCGGTGCCTATAAACCACGCAAACATTTTCACAAATATTTTATTCCCTCAGAAAAAGCAATTTAAGTGTATGTCATTACTCAACAGTTTACAGTATTGACCCAAGCTGGCTATTGCTGATAGCAATCAGAGCTTGGTCAGAGACGGAGTATTTACTAGCATTAGCGATAATCAATTGATGATTTCGCCTCGATTATGCATACACAGCTGTATATAAACAACATGATTGAACATATAGGATATAAATTTTCAAAATAATTTTTTTCTAAAAAAATTCTGGACTATTGATTATTCGATAACATACTGATCTCGATCGATGATCAAGAGAGGACTACTCTAAAGTGGTTTGATGGAGGTTAGACCAACTCAAAGCTAGTCAGAGCCCAACATCTGACTTGCTTGAGTTATTGGTGACAGGAATAATTAAAATGAGAATAAATTGAAATACCATAACATGCTTTTACAGAAAAAATAAAAAATGCGCTGTATGATAGGTTCGAACCACGCTTTCAGAATGCGTCATACATTGTGTCGCAAATCACGGCAGATGCAACACGTTTTCTCTTAGTGTATCCAAGATCTTGATCAAGATCTGCTTTACAAGATGTTCGACTAGGGTACCTACATGCACTCTCGTGAGGTATAGAATTAGATGCAAACAGGATAATTGATTATGATGCAAGATGAGAATGAAATAACCACATTTTATTGAAGAAAAATAGATTCGTTTCACGTGAAATGAAAATTTGGTTTTTGTTTTGCGCCATTTTGTATACTGACTCGATCTCAATTGCAGATATTTTCAAGGTAATAAAAAAGCACAATGAACTTGTTCAAACAGTTAAACTTTATTAGTTATCTTAGAGGGCATCCTTTGAGATTTTTATGTTTTATTAAGAGTTCAACGTATGTGTCACAGCTAGTAGCCCATGGGTATTCAGCGCGCAAATGATTCTATTTCGTGTTATTGGTAAGACTCATATCACGTTATTTGATTCCGAAGAAAAGTCCTTGGATAGATCTGAATCGAATTGAAAAAAAGGGGTTTCGATGATGATGATACTTGGGTTACTTTCATCAATTAATATTTGTATTTTTTTCCTCTTTTCAGGTTTATACAATGATGTCAGTTAACAAATATCAACCGCTATGTTTACATCATAACCAATGTCTACAAAAATACTTTCAAACATTTCATCTTGTGAGTGTAAGAAGATTATTTGAAATAAAGAATGTAAAAGTTTTTTTTTCTTTTTAAATTGATTATCTATATAGAAACATTTAAAATAAATAAATGTTATCTAAATATAGGTTTTTTGATATTGTTCAATGTTTGATTTCAATTAATGTGGTATAAAATATTATTCTTTATTGAAGTGCAAATTCAAATGTTTTTTATTATTCTTCTAGTTTTTGGTTGAAATTAACCCCAACTTATTCTAAACATAATGTTTCATGTTATAATGTACATGAGCCATGATAAAGGAGGCAACATGCAAATATTGATTGAACGAATTGATAAACAATGAGACAATATCAATAATTATTCTCCATTGTTTTGATGAAACATCTCTATTTCTATTTATATATATAGATCGAACTAAATTTCTAGCTTACATTTTCCTCATCTTCAGTCCCTATCACTTGTCTCAATTCAATTAGAAACATTTTCACAATATATAAGAGGTATGTTTTACAATATTGTTCGATTTCATGAAGTCAATTGTTGATATATCTGACGATCATATTTTGTTGTATATTTAAGATAATTCAATATTTTATCGTCTTCTTCGTCATCAAATCCTGCATTTTAAACTCGATATCGATTCAAACAATACAGAATATTGTAAATTTGAACAGCATCTGTTTAGCTTTATATTAGGAGGCGCTAAACGTTTAACCAATTTCCCTTTTGCGAATCGACTGACTATGGATCCAAAGTATTATTCATCAATGGGAAGTTGTTTCTCTTCAATTTTAACTAAATTAACAATTAATGTTAATACTTTTGATGATTGTCTTTATCATCTTGATGGACGTTTCATTCGTTTATCAACATTAATCATTAATATAGAAAAAATTTCTATTTCAATATCAGATTTAGAGAAAATGGTGAAACTATATATTTGTTGATTATTTTGTTGAATAAATATGAAATTAAATATACTTTTCTTTTCTAGAAACAACTTTCCAAATTGAAATGTTTTTCATTGACTTCGATTAAATCTACAATTTATTATGATGATCTCATTGTTCCGTTACTTCATCAAATGTCAAATCTCGAAGAACTTACATTATTTCTTATCATAAAAAGATTTAAATTGGCTGATATCGATGGTATTCAATTATATGATCAAATTCTTATTCATATGCCATAACTAAATAAATTTTCTTTCAGTATAAATACTTTGCTTTATAATATTGTCAATATTAGTCTTCTTTCGAATGATGATATTCAACGTAGTTTTATCGAAAGAAAATATCAACTAGTTGGTTCATATGCTGATGATAATCTAATGAAGGGTCAAGCTCAATGTCATATCTATTCATTACCATATAAATTCGATAATTTTCATTATTTGAACAATTCTTTTGAAGGTGGTAGATTTGAAAAAGTGAAATGTGTAAAAATGACTGATATACGTCCTTTTGAACAAGAATTTTGCAAAATTATTTCTCAATCTTTTCCTTTTCTTCAAGATTTGTCTGTGCGAAATGATGAATAATAGAAAAATAAACAACATTTATCTACATTGATTATATTTCCTCATCTTCGTAGTCTTAACCTTGCACTTGCACATATTGATTACGTTGAAGATTTTCTTATGAAAAAAACTACTCATCTACCTTGTTTGGCATATCTCAAAATCAAATATGAACCACTGCTCATCATAACAAATAATTTTACCAATAATTCAATAGAATTCAATTTTTCTCAATTAAAATTTCTTTCTATAATTGAGCCATTTGTCCGTCCAGAAAATTTTCATTTGTTTTTTCCTCAATTATAGATATTCTGTTAAAAAGAAAAATCTATTTTATATTAAAAAAAGATAATAAAATATAATTGTTTATTTTTATCATTATAATTAATTAACTAATCGATATAAAATCATTGCTCTTCGATAAAATAATTTTATTAAAGTAAGAAAGGAAAGAAAATCGACTGGTTGTCTATTTAATGAAATTGAATTAAAAACATATCCATCATAGAAAAAAAAGGACTAAGACTGATTTCGAAAATTATTTATTTTGAGAAAGAAAATAATATTTCCTTGGTATATTATTTTATTTTTTAATTATTTCAACTGATCTTTAATAAAGAGTACATCAGAAAACAAATGACAAGAGAGTGAAAAACATACTAATACGAAAAGCAACTTAACTAGAGGATGAAGGTGTAAAAAAACGTGCCTCTCTCCTACATCGAATCCTTCACAGCAGAAGTGGTGGAACGAAACTCTGAAAATAGATATTGATAATGGATTATGCGCTTTCGTAAGATAATCGATCATCAGAGAATCATTTTCTTTTATTTATTGGTACTTTTTATTTGTCTTGATGCTAGTCTCTTGTTATTTATTTTATTTTTATTTTTATTTCGTTGTTGTAATCTGTTATTATTTTTAATCTTATTTTTCTAACTATTAATTTAAATGAAAAATAAGCGTGTTGTTTACATCCATTATATCCATAATAGGTCTCATCGTGCTTAAATCGATCTCATCCACTCAGAAACACTAATGGTGACTTATTTTCTTAAGTTAAAATTTGATCAATTCATTCCTAATATGTCGGTCGCATGATGAATATGGCAAATCAACACATTACTAGTCATTATCTTTGATATCTTTCATATATCCGTATTTTTGGTCAAAAACAGAAACTGCACTAATTAGGACTTTGAAAAACATATATCAGCCATTTAAATTTTAAAGAAGGCTTGGAAATGTTTTAGAACAGTCAATGCCTAATTGATAATGCCAGTTAGTATCGTTTTCATTGCTAAGGAACTATTGGAAAGAACTCTGATGCTTGTAGTCATCCGTTGCTAGTGAAAAGCTCATACTTAATCACCTTTGATCTCGATTGATGTGATCTGTAATGGTAAGCTGCTGGAAAATGTCTTTCAGACAGGGAAGGTGCAGAGTCGCGAAGTTCAACTTAAAACTTACTATTTTCTTCAAAAATATTTGTGAATTTCACAAAAAAAATTCAACATTTACGAAGTTGAGAGTTTCTTTCAATAACTTCAACTAAATTAGCCATGTGATGTCATAATCATTCGGCTCTGAATTTCAACCTACCACTGAAAAGCAAGGAAAGTTGTGTGAATTGGATTCTTTCGTACAACAATGATTTGTAAAGAAATTGGAATAATTTAATTAACAATTTAATATATATTTTAAAGAAAAAACTTGATTTTCCTTGGGTCAAATAAAGAGCAGTTGAATGATCAGTACAATTTCAGGGACTTTTGCTTTAGTACACTATCCACTGCATAGTAAATGTTCAGTAAGATTGAACTTAATATTTTTTTCTTCATTTCCTCGATGATCATAAAACAGTTTAAACAAACAGAAATGAAGTAAAATAATCAAAATCTTCACTTAGTTTTGTGTACTATGACAAACTCGGAGATGGATTGAGAGTTTTCTCATGAATATATATTGAAAATTCGTTCATTTCCTTGACTGTAGTCAGAGTCTAAAACTTGAAATTGTCTGTATGTTTGTTAGTAGGGTAACTGCCGCTTTTTGGGTCATCATTTTCTCTGCTGTCGTACAGGCGAGGGTGTCGATGCGTGTGGATCGGGATGTGATCTGTCTATTCTTTAATAAAGACATCCACACCCACACCCTAATTAACGTGAGACTTTCTGTTGAGAAGTAAATATCGATAGGTAAAAACGTAGAATTGATAAAATAATCTATACAATTAGGGTGTAGGCGTGATTAATGTTTCCCACATCCATACTTAGTTCCCACACCCTAGATAACGATGTCTTTTCCTTGACCTGAAAATAGTTGGGAGTCTATAGGAGTCAGTCGGATTGCTGAGGAGTATTTCCAAGTAGTCCGTAGGTCCTAGAAGTAATTAGGAAAAAATAAGCAACATATCTACGAGTACTATTGGTTACTAGAAAGAACTAATTCAACATATCCCTAAGAATTAGAGTAAGAAGTTTTCTGCTTGAATCAGAAGAAAGTATTTGTGTCACTGTTAGATGAGCAGTAGGGTCGCACATAGTTGATCCTTCTCTAGTAGTTCAGCCACAGGAAAATCAACGCTGAAGCACGGACAATCAACCTCTCACCATTCATATAAACTAACAGCTTTAAGGAAACGTATTTTTAATTGCTTATATGTTTCCATAAACTATGTGTCCTCAGCCATCCCTCCCTTGTGCAATTGTCGTTGTTATTCGGAAAACGGAAGATGTGTCAGAATAAGAACTTTCTTTTCAAAAGTTGTTACGGAAGTCGCATCATCGATACAAAAAGACTCAAAATACTGCTCTATAAGACATTCAACTTTGTACTATTTTAAGCTATCTGTCATAAAGCACTCCAAGAAATAATATCTTCATCGATATTATACAAAAGGATTGGAAACCTTAACTCTGCTGTATGTTTTGAAATGATCCAACCCGAATGGTCGAGCTTGTGCAAAGATTTAATGCATAAGGCTCAGTATTCTAGTGGTAGAATGTTCGCTTCGAGGCTGTTTCGAAACCATATACACAGCTTTTTGTCGATTTCCAGCCGCCCTCTGTCTCTAAGGGCAGCTGTGACGTAGAGATACATTGAAGAACATGATTACTTCTAACTTCTGTGCCTTCCTCGTTGCTGTCCATATGGTTTTCGAACAATCTATTTGGAAGCGAGCGGCCCAGGTTCGATTCCTGGCTGGGCCCGATTTTTTTTTCCGTGTCGTTTTTTAAAATGAATGTAAATGTAAAACGCGACTTTTAATGACTGACATACTTTTTCAATATTTTAAAGCTGTATCATGAAACATAGACAGTTTCAAAAAGATTAGGTACATATCGTCAAGTTTGTTGCCATTCAAGAGACATTTCCAAATTGATGTAAAGTGCCTGTTCTATATCTCTCTTGGAGAATTTGTATAGAAAAATAAGCTACTCTGTCGAACTACAAAATCTAAGCGAGAAAAGAGTTTCTTTCTCATGCGGGAATGTGACTCATTTTCTTTTGTCATTGCATCATGAAAAAGAACGACAGCATGTGCTACTCTATACGTATGTATAACTGTCTATCGAATTGTGCCTATATTGACTCTACTGTCTGAAAACATTAAAATCACTGGAAACAATGTCCATCATCCAAAGTTTGATTTTACACGTTCAGCTTAACAGGAACATAGGAGAAAAACAAAACGGGCCTAATCAGGAATCGAACCTGAGCCGCTCGCTTCCAAAGCGAACATCCTACCACTAGAACATTAGGCCTCAGATAATACAAGCCAACCTAGTCATGACCGACCATCATCTTTGCATCAAATCCATGTTTTGATTAATACGCACTGTGGCAAACTCTAGTCTCACAAAGAGCTTCAAAATAGTTTTCCGCTTTGTTAGATATGTTTCTCACGAACTAATGAAGCAGAGCAATGTGAATACGGGGAGTAGAAGAGCCACAATCAATCACTGACACTCACATCCTTGTAAGCCATTCATATATATAATATTTGTATCAATAACATACAGTCGATTCGAAACCTTAAAATAACTGTATGTTTTGAAATCACCGAACCTGAATGGACGAACTGATGCGGAGATATAATACATGAGGCTCAGTATTCTAGTGGTAGAATGTTCGCTTCAAGACTGTTTCAAAATTACATGAACAGTGTTTTCGCGATTCTACGTCCATCTTCTATTTCTAACGGCAAGTATAGCGTGGCAACGTATTCAGATGCATGATTAACTCTACTGTCCCTTCCTCCGTCGTTACGAACTATACGGTTCCTGAACAGTTGATTAGGATGCGAGCGGCCCAGGTTCGATTCCTGGTTGGGCCCAACTTTTTTTTCTTGGGTCGTCTTCTACAATGAGCGTCAATATGGAGTCGGATTCTGGACGATTGGTGTGCTATTTCTATCTTGTTAAGCCTCGCCAAATAAAACAATCAGTTTCAAAAAGATTTGGTAAACATCGTCAATTTTGTTACTATTCAAGAGACAGTTGGTAATTTATACGAATCATTTATCTTGCATCTCTGTGGAGACAGAATTTAAAAGGTAAAAGACTTTCTTCCTCGCACAGAAATATGACGCATTCCTTTCTGTGATTGCATCATGAAAGAGAGAGAGAGCAACAGAACGTGCGATTCTATAGCTATGTATACCTGGGTACAGGTGTGGATGCTGAAGTCATTATGCAATGGGAAGCAACCGCATGCTTTGATTAATGCATCTGAATCTAGTTATTGAATTCAGAACGAAACTATCGTACTGTTGAATGAGGTTTGAATGAAACTCAAAAAAGATAAAACTTTCTTTGGTGACAGTTGTTTTCTATGAGACAACATATGTATTTCATTGGTCAATCAACTAAGATGATAACCACGTAATTCCATCAGACTTGAAGAAGAAAAATCTAGAAGTTGCAAACAGAATGATAGCTTTTTAATAATGATGTTCGATGAAAAATCGCTGCAATTTGAATAGTATAGACTTTTGAATATAGAAAACACATGCGTACACCAATTTATGATGAATGAGACCATGAAAGTAGTGTGTTTACTCACATCCATACTAGCAAACTTCCTATTGTGCCGAAACAGCTTTTCAAAAACTCTTGATTAGAGATGATTAAATTTTTATAATAATTGTTTCTTTTCCATTAGTTTCAAGCAATATTCTGATGTTACGTTTTAATTATTTAAAAACAAATAGTGTAGGTATAATTCAACAAGCAAGTGACATATTTTTTCGAACTTATTATTAATGAATTGGTTCGATTTTCTAAATTTATCTATTCATTTATATATATTTATATGTAAGGAAGAATAGTTCGTTTTCAATATCTTTGACTTGCCTTAGATGTTGTCTTTATTGAACAAGTCTAACATGTCTTACTATTGCCAGTGCTTCTCCATTTAAGCATGAGGAACAACATACACACACACAATTGTGCTTAGAATTAATCCAACAATAATAATTATTATTAATTTTTCTTCTTCAATGTTTAATTGTTTCATTATTTCCTTTGCCCTTAAATAAAAACATACGCGTTTTGGAGTGTTATTTTTAAAAACTGCATAGATATCATCCGCTCATAAATCATACGTATACAGTGCATATCGTATATCTATTATGCTTTAAGAAAGATATGCTGATCGAAATGAGAATATGAGAAGTAGCTCAGAATGAGCTAAGAATATAAGTTCTAGCAAAATAATATGTGATTGCTAGCTTAGTATGATTTTTAAAAAATAAAAATCAGTTTTTCAACAACAAATAAAATAAACATCATTATTGAAAATATTCTCAAAGAAAAAAAAACGATAAAAATTTAGTATATAAATGTTAGTCATACTATTTGTAGTCATTATTTGATTCTTATCAATGATAATTCGAAATCAGGTCACTGTAGGTTGTGTGAATGCAAAAGAATTTCTGATATATACTATTGATCTTCTCAAATGTTTCCAATTCGAAAAATACATTCAGCATTCTTTGCGAGGTATGTTCAGATTTCCAAAAAAGGCAATTACCCATATTTCTAAAATTTCCATCAGCTCGATTACGACTTAGCAGTGCAAATCAAAAGTTTTTAGACGTAGTGAAAATTTCAGCAATTTTAGAAATTTCTGTAAGTACGTAATTGTGGAAACTTCAGAAATTTCGGAAATTACATCATTTTCGGAAGTAACGTACAATTCCGAACACGAATGCTTGAAATCTCCGAAACTTCTGAAATTTCCTTTTTCGAAAGTCTGAACATTGTTGGTTTTCACTTGCTCAGAACTTTGTCTTTCAAATTTCTTTTTTTGAACTTTTTATAGTGATGCCGTCCAACAATATTCATCTTTCTAGAGAGCTAGGCAACGTAGTTGGACAACTCAACAAAATTCATTTATGATTGTAGTTGAATTGAATTGGATTGAAACATTTTTCAAAGATCTACCAATTGTTATGCATTGAATTGAAAAAAACCTTCCAACATGACTGAATCGAATTGAGTTGAATTGAAAAAGCTTTCGACGATTGGTGAAATTGAATTGAGTTGTCCAGCTCTGCTGTGCTCCGAAAAATTGATGGAAGTTGTATATTATTCTTCTATTTATTTATGTCTATTAAAAGTGTCAAGAAATTGAATATTGTCTGTAGGCAACTTTCTTCATACTTTTTACCATCGGGATGTTGATAGAAGAACAAAAAGATTTCAAGTGCGGATCAAGCTTTTTTTATAAAAGCGTAGAGAGAGAAAAAAATTTTCGATACCTCCCTATACAATATCGTAGTCAGGCTTTTTTTTATTTGTTTCATTGTGATGATGATGAGATTCCATACAAAATACATAGAAATAGTAAGTCTTCTAGGCGAAATAATATATGCTAGTTATTTATTGATCAATTACGAAAATGTTATTTTGAACAACGTAAGATAAAAGTATACGAACGAGTTTTACTGTTTAAAGGCACATTAGAATCTACTAAACTTTTTTTTAAATATTTTCTAATGAATAGTAGGGCGAATATTGGTAAACTTGATTTTGTTTCTATGTGTTTCTTGACATTGTGACCGAAACTTACATTTCGTTAACGATGTACTTTTAGTAAAAATGGAAGTTCTAGGCCCAATTTATCCTTTAGAAGTTATAAATTTTTCGACATATTCTGTAAGTTCATTGTCAAAATACGAAAAATAATATCATTTTAACTATAGATCATTTAGATAGCTATAGAATTTTGATTTAGAAGTTCAGATGTCAGCTTTCATCCATTGCTTTGCAGCAGATTTTCTATTTGAAGGACTTTGTAAGCATACTGTAACATTGTAGAAAACATTCAGTTCTTTCTAGTAGTTTTCATATTGATCGATTGAGAGTGTGAGTGTGCATTTAGAAAGTCAAAGAAATTATACGAATTATGATAATTTTGGAAACTGTAAAAACTTGTGATATAATAGAAATATGGAAAAAATATATGTTTGAAATTTGCAAAAAATATTCTTGTGAATATCTGAACACTGTCGACTAAAATACAGTGCGATTAATGTTTTTCCATCACATTATTAATCAGCTAATTGACCATTGAGACTATCTCAGAAAGCTTCTACTTTGAGGTATGTTCAGATTTCCAAAAAAGGAAATTACCCATATTTCTGAAATTTTCATCAGCTCGATTACTACTTAGTAGTGCAAATCAAAAGTTTTTACACGTATTAGAAATTTCAGCAATTTTAGAAATTTCTGTAATTTCAGAAATTTCTGTAAGTATGTCATTGCGAAAATTTCAGAAATTTCGGAAATTACATCATTTTTGGAAAACAACGTACAATTCCGAACACAAATGCTTGAAATCTCCGAAACTTCCAAAATTTATTTTTTCGGAAGTCTCAACAGTTCTGTGTGGGTACGGGTGTGGATGTGGTATACGTGTGAGTCTTCATGAAAACACTTACAAATCCACACCCACACTCCCCACCCTACCCCACATCCACCCACACCCTTTCTCTTATCATCTTTTTCATGGAAGAGAAAGCGAAAAAGTCTGATTTTTATCGAATTTTTAGTTAAAAATCGATTCAAGCTAAAATTAAATCTGGCTTTCCAACTGAAGATTATACTCTAACTTATTCAATGAAGAAGATAATTAGTTTTAATCCATTTGGTAACCTTTTCTTTTTTACCTGAGTAAACATCAAATGACACCAACTCTGGAAATGTGGCATATGAACCACAGCTGAATTTCGTATAGAACCCACCAGTTGTTGAACCATATAGTCCAATCAACTATGGAAAAATTTAAATTCCCACAATAAAACTCGAAAGAAATGCCTTTTACCTTCATCATGATTCATAGCGATCATAGATCGAATAATTTAATTTAAAATAAGAATCTTTTTTTCACATCAGCTGTCTAGAGTGCAGTCAATCAGTTCTATGCCATCATTGTCTGTTTATTTTATTTATGAGCTATTAGCATACGTTGCAGTTCACTTCGTTTTAAACACCATTTTATTTGAAGACGTCATTAATTGATAGAGCTTCGATTTATCTAACCATGAAACCCCATGCTAAGCCATTTTGTTAAAGAACTCAATGAGAAAAGAATCAAATATTTACTCGATGGACTCACTCTCAGTCACTTGGTTCTACTTCAAGTTTGGATTAGAATGACTTCGAGTAGCCTGAAATGCATCTATTAAAAGAATATTTTATACTTTTATCAAAGAATTTTTACAGTTTTTAAAAAGTTCATCAAAATTTTCAGCACTACCACTGAAACCTAAGTTTTTCATAGTCATCGTCGCTCACAAAGAAAAAAATTAGAAAAAATCTCGCCGTTGATTGATGCCTTGGCCTACACTTATAGTTCTATACACCAGGAGAAGTCGTTGCTGATGTTCGAATAATTAATTATTTTTTCTTTTTTTTTTGAATTCTTTCCTAGAAAGTTTGAAATCAAAACGATTGGTTTTAACAAACATATATTAATATCATCACTTGCATTATACAATCAATTCAAAATATTTTAATATGAGTAGACCGAGACGTAATCTCGAAAAATTTTCTTGTACAACATCACGCTTTCTTTTGCCAACATTTCGTCGTCCATGTTATCGTCAAATAATTACAACAAATATTATATGTGATCCAGAAAAAGAAGTTTTTTCAAAATGGTCTGACGAAGATGGAGGATGCTATAATACGATTAACGCAGCCCTTCTTAATGATGACTATCAAGTATTGAAAAATCATGTACAATTTATCAATAGTTTAAGAATGGCAATTAAAAATAATAATGAAAATGAATCTTTTAAAGTTTATCGTGGATTAAATCTTGATCTTGAGCATGTAAAACAAGAATATAAAGTAGGTTTACAATTTTTATGGCCAACATTTACATCTACATCAAGAAATAGAGATGTAGCACATCGTTTTGGTGATTATACATTTGAGATCGATGCATCAAAAAATGATTGGACATATCGCAGTGATATTTCAAGATATTCTATCTATCCAGAAGAAGAGGAAGTTTTATTCTATCCATATAGTGGCTATGTTGTTCAAAATATTATACATGATGCAAAAATAATTCAATTAAAATGTATTGATACACTAGAAGTTGAATCGAGCTCTGATAGACTCATTCCATCTTGTGTTAAAATTTTTGATTCATCAAGAAATATGTTCGTTTATTTCTATAAAGATAGTCCTGATCTTCATTGGTCAAGTGCTGAAAAACCAAGTGAAATCTTTTTAATTGCACAAAATATGAATGGCTATTGGGATTCTCCTTACCGTTATCATCATCGTAATGGTTATTTTGTAGATAAGGGAAACAATCAATGGGAAGAATATCAAAACAATAAGCTTCATGCAAAATTTAAAAGAGTTTATGATGATAATAACAATAAGAATCATGATGGCTGTGATGATTAAAACACAAACGACTCGACAAGTGATACAACAAAAGAACGAAAACGTATGGGTAGATGTGAGTGGGGGTGGGCGTAAGTGTGTGAACGTGGATCTGGGTCGTGGGGTTGTGGGTGGTTGTAGGTGAAAGAGATACTCTAGGCCTCACGCCCACACTCCACCTCCACACCTGACTACACCTCACACCTACAGTCCCATAATTTTTTTGTGAAAATTAAAGTCTACATTTACGAATTGATTTGTTCCTATAGATACTTATTTCCGTGTTCTTGAAGTTTCTAGTCTTTATTTTGATTACAGTCTCATTGTATCCTATTATATTTCAAATAAAAATGCTTCGATTATTAATTCAGATACAAGTATAAACTCCTAAATGTAAGATATATTTTTATGGGGAATTTTTTTGGAAAACTACCTGCGAAAAAGGACTCAGCTTTGGTTCTGATTCCACCGCCAATTCAAATCATTTCTGATACCGCCGATACCGTATTTATTTGTCAGTCTCTTTATAGGACTTAAATAAAACGATTAATCTCACATATGTTTGAATTAATATTATTTTATATTTCCTTTGAATTAAATTTATAAAGAGAATCATTAGTCTTTTTTTTTTCATTTAAGAAATATACTTTTCTCATTGACTTAGTCAGGTATGTTATACAAAGGTTTTTCTTTTCGTAACAGATGATAAATGCTTTCGCATTGAATAATTATTTGTATCAAACATTTTCTTTTTCTACACAACGATTAAGTCTAAATAGAATTGACATAAGATTCAACAGAATCATTTTAAAAAAATGTGACTTAAACAATTGTTTGTTCAATTAAAAAATAAACTTAGTGGAATTATTTTAATCATAAAACAAATGATATTAAATCCTTGTATGATGATTTTAAAATATCTTTGTATTACTGTGACATTTCAAGAATAAAATTGGATTAACAGGAAAAAAAACAATTAGCTGCACAAGATGGCAATCATATTAATGATTAAATGCCAAATGAATTAATTCAAGGAATTGCTTTAACGATATGTACAAATATTTCATTGTTTTTTTTTACAAGTCCTATCCAATAGATTCGTCATGTCTCGCAATATATTTTGTTGAGTTATGTAAACCTGTTTTTACTGAGAACTATGTTCAATCTACGTAAATTTATCAAAAATATTTCAATTAATACAATGTTCAGACATAAAAACAAGGAGATTTTATTCGAAACATAATCACTTATTTAATAAGGATCAATTCGTGGAGTTTCTACCACTTAGTGAAAGAAGGATATTCTGTGTCAATGGTCTGAAAGAAATGTTTCTTTTCGCTTTGAATAGTCTAGTTAGATGCATCATAGTCGAAAACTGCCTGAGGTAACAATCCAAACTTTTTTGGATGTATAAAGCGTGAAGTATCACATCATTTTTTACGGACCCCTTCACATTGATAAAGAGCAAACCATAATAACTGATGATAAATTGTTCATCATATTTTTCACAGTTTTTGTTGACCTAGAGAGATAAAGTTTCATATCACATATATATCGAATTAAGGTCTTTTATTTCTGAAATTGTTCGCTATCTAGCTAAAACTAATGGTAAAATACATCAAGTTTGCAGTCAATTTTGTCCTATTCATGTCATTAGATTCGATCGTCACTTTGAATGACAAAAAATATTCTTATAAAAATATCCAAGTTTTCAAGGTGCCTAGAGTAAGTTTCTTATGATTATCAAGTACCGATGTTTGTGTTTCTGATGTTAAAATTATTCTATATGCACGATTCTACGAAAATCTGACTCTGATTATATGACGACCATGAATAAAAAATAACTATTTGGTTTTTTTATGAGCGATATTCACATTTCCTTCTAGAAATGAATTCCTCATTCTTTACTCAACATACGGAAGCAATGTGCACGATTCAGTGTTTGTATGGTGATATCGTCAAGCGTGGTGTTTTTTAGTTCATCTACAAAATAAGTAACATGATTGATCCTTCCACTGTCTCTAGGGACAATATTAGTCAATATGCTAATTTATACTTTTCTGGTTAACTAAATTGAACAAATCATAACCAGTAACTTTATCAAGTTTTTATATGACTTGAAAAGTTCTTACTCATTCGTTGTCGAACTTATCACAGACAAAAATGTTAGTCATTTTTAATGAAAAACTATTGGATATGAGTATGTCGCATCATTACTTGCTTATTGTTATACTAACAGCATGTTATGTCTTGAGCTCATACAGATTTATATCTGATGTGTCTTTTTTCCATTCAGCTGAACTAGAACTGACTCTCTAATATAGATTCTAATTCATCAAATCAAAATCTTTTTGAAGATCTGCAATTCTGGTAGATCTCAATCAGTACATAAGACAATCACTATGATCAGATTTACAAATGGTATTTCAATAGAAATCAAATATTCAAGATTTTACAGACCACAGAATAGTCGATGGTCATCTATAATAATAGAGTCGAACTCACGCATTGTTGACGTTATTTCATTTGTTTGGTTAAATTCAATGCATATTCTTCTTTGTTTTTAAGTAATGACAGAATCAGATCATTATTTCCGTTAAGTTTCCGTATCATACGAAAAATTAACAGATATATATAGTTAATTTCTATTTTTCAATTATAAAAGGTGGATGTGGGTGATAATGGTTAATTCAAGCAACCCTAGAGTCACTCGCTAGCCTTCAACCCCATCCCTGCATCCCACGCCCACACTCAGACCCAAATGAATAGACTTCTGAATAAAACATTTGTAGCTATCATTTCTATTTTTTACTTGTTTGTTTATCAGTGAATAGTTTACTTTCGTTTCACATTGTACAATCTCTCGATTCGAATTTACTTTTTTGTGGAAACATTTCTTTTAAAAAGCGTTGAAATTTCTCATGAATTAATGCCTGATTCGTATGATTTGAACTTGTACGATCGTTAATACTTAAGAATTTTGGCATTTGTGATCGCCGACGAAGTTCATTAAAAAATTCCTTCACTTTTTTAAAATTATTTGTAAGTACTTGATTACAAAAATCTCCATCAGAGGGACAAGCACTTTTCATTCGACGTTGTTCGACACACACATTCGATTGTTCAATTAAATACCGAGTAATGAAATAGGTTGGATGAACATCATTCATGTCGCGAAATCGATGTGATGATTGCTCACGATGAATATCGGTGAATTTCGAGAACCAAACTTCTTCGGCAATCGATTTTCTGATTGGATGTGGAGCATGCGGAAGAAAGTGCCGATCACTTTCATTTGCATTTGTACTAGATGATAGATTGTCGAGTAGAAAATTTGTATTCAGCATTGCTTTCTTATGAATGTTTAATGTAACATTAGTATTTGATGTGAAACGATCGTCACCGTAAATAACCGGACATCTTCCATTGATGAAAAAATCTTCTATCAAAACTGGCCGTCCAAGTATATAATCATCGTTAAAATAAAGATAAAACTCTTTCAAATGTGGTATTTTGTGAATATTAGCTTCGATAGCATGAGAATTAAATGTTGGAAGGTATATATGGTCCATAATTTCTTTAGTTGAGATCACGCGAAGTTGTGATTGTGATTTTGAAATATTCAACCAATTAGGTATTTGGTCAGTTACAACATAAATGTGTCCATGAAACGATGGCATATATTTTTCAATACTTCTTAATGAAAAACATAATTCATTGTTGTCTTTTGATAAACTCGATGAAATACTGTGATGTTCTTTGAGACGATTACTGCCTAAAAGTGGTTGGTGAATGGAAAACCAATAGACTTTCTCTCGAATATACTGTTCATTACTGCCATTGACATAAGTATAAACAATATCGAAAAGAAAATCATCGTATCCCATCAACGATGACGAAGATGAAGAACGTGGTCTCAATAGCCAATTGTTAGCGGTTTGAAAGACAACAAAAATAAAGAGAACACTGATTAAAAAACATTTGAAGATATTACCAAAGAGCTACGAATAAAATAAGAGTCAAAGTGGATTATGATTTTTATATTTTCTTTGTTTTACCTAAACGACCTAATCTTTTTATGTTTTCAGCAATATCAACTCATGACATATTACAGATTCTGATACAAAAGAAAGAAATGGCTTCGGGACAAAGTGTAAATAAGCAGAAACGTTTTATATTTGAGATGTTTATCAAAATTTGTGACAAATTCTCGAAGAAAAATGAAACTTCTTGTACAGTATATTTTCATTTTAGTAGAATTGATAACAAATATAAGCATATATCTCATAAAAGATGTATTGCTATTGATCAGATGGTTTCTTAAAAAACCCACAATTGTATTTTTTTTGAATATTCACTTCTTCAGCTTTCAACAACAGCAACAAAATGCGGCACTGTGGTTTGGCATATTCATAAAAGAAATTTCCGATCTTCTTTTGAAATATAAGGTCTACTACTGCAGAAAACAGAATGTGCTTTAAAGCTATGGATTTCTTGGATATTTCCCTTTAAGAAAATACTTCAAGAAAAATAATTGATAAAAATAAGCAATGAATCAATCATCACTCAACGAGATATTTTACTTACCATTGTTTCTTAACCTAAACTAATATTTAACATCATTTTGATGGAGGCATATTCATTTTTTTTTTCAAACGCTAATCTTTTGAAGAACATAAATCTGTGTCTGTCAATAGAATGCATTGTTCCTGACTCAGACAAGATCAGAATATTAATGATCAAAGAGATAAGTGTAAGTATCGCATCTCCATGGCAACTAGTTCCGCTAGCGCTACCGTCAACGGAAGAATGAACAGATAATGGTGCTAACGGGACCAATTGCCGAGGAGATGTTAGTTCCCAGGAAAGTGACCAGCTGTTCAATTGCCTGCAGGTCGACACATGACAAATTTTTCATAATAGAGTCTTTAGCTTTTAACAATAAACACTAAAAGCGGTATTATGTTGATGAAGTTCAAATACTAGAAAAAATGATTTTAAAATCAGAAGCCTAATAAAAATAAAAAGTTTTCTTTCTGTAAATGTATAGAACTCTTTGAAAACTGCGTACAAAGATATTATTTGCATTAAAACCATTTTTAAAAAGTTCCCATAGTCAATATTATACTTAAAGACACATGAATTACAATATATAAGTCCTTACATTGCAAATCATACTTACAGCTGTTTGAAAATATAAAGAAATTATATTTTGGATAATTTTCTATAAGTTCTGCTTAGAAGGGTGAGGAAAACTTTTCAAATTTATAATTCTTTGATTTTTAACCACCTTTCGTGGAACTCAAGTTCTAAAAGCAGTATCCTATATTCTTGTTGTACTAAGAACCAGAGGAATTTCTATGCAAATCGTAGCGTTGTGGCTCGAGAGCAATTAAAGAGTTGGTAAAAATTCGTCCTAAAAATCTTGAGCTTACACTTACTTGTTCTGTGAAAGGCGTTGCTGCTGATTCAAATTGTTTGATATTGTAAACTGCTAGGACATTATACTCGATCTACTTAAAAAAACCAATCTCTTATATAGGGTTTAGAAAATGAAGCCCTATAAGTACTGTATCGATTTTATGTTTCACTTCATCTCGCGTGCGTCAGATTCATTTATTCAGTCCTTTAAAAAATACGTCTTATTTGTTTAGTTCTTTCTGTAGTGATTTGTATTTAATCAATTCTGTCGAGCGTTATGTATAATATGTGCAATTTTCATGATTACTACTCTCCAATACATTCATTTTTTGAGTGTTATTTGAGAACGAAGAACTAAACATTTACTTCAAGGTCTTCAACTGTATTTCAACCAGAAGCAGCGGAATATTTTGAAATTGGGTGAGACTCAATGGAAGTTTATTTGCTATCCTAAAATGGTATTTCATATATCAGCATAAGAGAATTTGAGTGAATTTCAGATGATAAGTCGTTTCAGACTGTTTAATTGTTTTGCTGTCAGAAAATGATTTTGCTAACTTATTCTGCTCTTTACTGGCAAAGTTTCTAAATCTTTATAGAAGGACGAAAATTTCAAAAAATACAAGAACTATTTATTTCATATTAGAACATTAAACCAAAAAAAACTTGTCTTTTTTTTTCGTTTGATGATATAAATATGGATACCATTTAATGGATTAACAGGAGAAGTAGTTTGTATTATAGAAGATGCTTCACGAGCTTTGTTTCGAGAACTTGTTGAAAGATGAATTAAATCAGTTAAAGCAATTGCTTCTATAAATACAGATGTTGTTGAATCTTTTCCTTTTTTTAGTAAAATATTCCAAAATTGATCGAGCACATTGTTTTCATAGTATTACGGTCTGTAATCTAAATTATTGATTTTACGACTATGATCAAAAGAAAGTATTGTTTATCTGTTTAATATTCATACAAACATGAAATCACATTTTGACTAGGAAGACTAATACAATAATCTTGTAACGCACTAGCTAAATAATAATGCCAAGACATCCAAAAAATATGAGAGCTAGACATTCAGATAAATATGCAAATGAACTTGTTTCACACTATTTTCTGTTAGTATATTTGCTGACATTTTAAACAATTACTGTGGATGCATTTCATTGAATACGTTAAAGAGAATGACAGGACACTCAAATATAACTAGTTTTGATGTCTTTTGATCGTATAATTCTACAATCTGGCCTTCCACTGAGGGTTCATGAAAAAAGAGAAGTAAAAATGATCAATGTAAAATAGAAAAGAGGAAAAGTAGGAGGGTCTTATTTCAACCCTCAAAATCATAAAAAAAGGTACTCAAGTGAAGGGAAAAGTCGAACATTTCAAAATTGATCCTGTACCAATCTCTGTTTGGTAATGGCTTTAAACATAATAGGTGTTGCAAAAGTTCCTGGAAAAATGTCAGACTGTTGTATTTGAACAGAAGATGATAGCAGCTAATTCTTTTTTTTGTTAGATAGAACTTAGTTTCTATTCATACACTAGTAGCAAAATTTATTCGGTTTTTATAAACCTCCTAAAAAGCAGGTCGCAACATGTTTAACAGTAAACAAATTGTATATGTAAACAAAGACATATGCCTGTGAGCTAAAATGACTTCTATGCAGTGCGATTACTCAAAGACCACCTAGAGAAAATTTCCGCTTAAGCAAATCTTTCTTTATCTAGACTCACTTTCTTAAAATTATGTCGACATATATTACGAACATTTCTGTAACAGTAAGTTTTCCATTTTTAGATATCTCATTAACTTAGGACAAAGAATTTAGTATGGTTTTTCTGATATTCTTCTAGCTTGCGAAAAGCTTGATCTGGTGCAGTCGATCTTACTTTAATTCCTTGTAAAAATGGATATTTAAAGTGATAAGAGTTTGAAAAAATTGATGTACATAAATTTTCAAAACTGAAAATTAGTTTTTCCTGTCAACAGCAAATGATAACAATCAAGTTTTCAATAGTTTGCATGTGGTCAAAACTTGCATCATTTTGTATATAACGTGTAAAAAGGAGTTCAAAATATTGCATTTAATGCAAGGTATTGATCTTTTTTTCGAAGAAGCCAATAGTAAAATTGCAAAAATTTACAGTACCCCTTTTTAGCAGTTTTAGGAAAACCGAATTGATTTGTTTACTAATGCATGAATAAAAGTTCTCAAAACAGGTCCTTCAAGAATAGTAGCCGCACTCTATCTAACAAAAGAAGAGTTAGCTTCTTCTCACCTTCTGCTCACATACAATAGTTTAGCATTTTTTCAGCAACTTTTGCAACACCCGTTATGTTGCGCTATATTGTAATAGAATTAGGGATATCAAACAATCTATCCAGGTTATTATTATCTCTACTACCCACGTTGAATATTGTAAAAGTCGATTGAAGTTCAATCGATTACTTTTCATCATCTTTAACAGCGTTTGCCTGTTTTGTTGCTACTTAGTTCCGTTTTACTTCTTTTTCTATCTAAGATAGTTGCATATGGTATTTTCATCGGGCTAATGTTTTCTCGCTGTGAAAAAGAAAAACAAAAAACAATTGTGTTCACTATCATTCAAGAATTTGCTATTGCCGGAAAAATTGATCTATGCTAAGTTTTTCTATGTACAGTTTACTTTTTGATAAAAAAAGAGAAAAAAGAAGAGAACGAGGAGGAGTGGGTAGCCAGTTCTACAATTGACCTAGTACACATACCATTTTATGTAAATGAGATAAAAAGTGTCGCTGTAAATCATAATAACATAGTTAGTGAGTATATTATTGTTTGATTTCTAAGTTTTCTTTATCACGACATATAAATACATGTATTAGAAGTTTGAATCTTCGGACTAAAATAAGATTCAACTGATAAGATAAGTCTAAACCAACGTGCAAAAAAGATCTAATTCATAATTTGGGTGAGGCTGAGCCTACAGACACTAAATTTGGATGAGGCTCATGCCTCACCCAGCCTCTAGGTTCCGCTGCCTATGATTTCAACATATTTGAGGTTTGTTATGCTAAAGCACAACTGTATTCAAGTTTAATTTAGGGGTGGGAAGTTACCGTTACCCGGGAGTTACGTTACCGGGTAACTAGTAACTTTTGAGTTACTAGTTACCGAGTAACTAGTAACGCCGGAGTTACCAGTTACCAGGTAACTAGTAACTTCGAAGTTACTAGTTACTTTTGGTAGGTAACTTGTCTAAAAAGTCGAGATATCGCTTCCTAATGACTGAATATCATCTATTCATCATTCAATTAAATTACGAGTTACTTGGTAACTAGTAACTCCTATGTGCGTTACTAGTTACTCGGTAACTCGTGAGCTGAATAAGTACTGTAATGATGGCATTCACTCATTAGGAAGCGATATCTCCACTTTTTAGACAAGTTACCTACCAAAAGTAACTAGTAACTCCGAAGTTACTAGTTACCGGGTAACTGGTAACTCCGACGTTACTAGTTACTCGGTAACTAGTAACTTGCGAGTTACTAGTTACTTGGTAACGTAACGGTAACTTCCCACCCCTAGTTTAATTAGTGCACAACTCAATGAAAATACACTATTCGATGCTCAATATTGGTAGTCGAACATCCAACAATGTGTTCCGTTTTATGACGCTATTCCAGCGATTATTCAAGATGGTCAAATTATTAGAGTCCTCGAAATATTTCCTCAGCCTGTTTTAGTTACACTAACGCATAAATGTTGTGCAGCTAGTAATACTTCTCAACTCTTTATTATACCAGCTGCCAAATGCAAAGAAAATGAATGTATGACATTATTAATGAATCTTGCACAATTGTTCTTGACAAAGGACGTCTAGCAAAACTATCTGAACTCGCGTTGGTTTCAACAGAATACTGAGGAGGCTGAAAGTGAATTTGATCGATTTTCTTTGTATGCGTTTGATTTGAGTCCATGTAGGTACGAATTGAAAAAATCGGAGTGTGGGTGTGGGTGGCTGTGGGTGTTGGTGTCGATGTTGATGTTGTTGAAGAGAAGACTCACAGTCACATCCACACTCACACCCGCATCCTCACACTCACAGTCACACCCAACCCACACCCCACATCCACCCATACCCGCTTTTCCATAGAGTATTGTATGAGTACAAATTTTCAGCTCCGTGTCACTCATACCCGTATCCTACCCTGCCCGCACCCTACCCTACCCGTGCCCGACTGTGCCCGTACCCTCCCCGTACCCGTCCATTTCGTACCCGATACCCGATCCGCGGGTTGCAGTACTCTAATCCACAACACCATACCCACAGCCATACCACAACCCCACACCCAATTCCTCTCTACACCCACACCTACACTCGGACTCCAATCCATGATCAAGCAGACAGTCGTACAAATCCACGTCCACATCGTTTGATAACATGGATGTGTATAAGATGCTTATGTGTCATTTAAATCAGTGATAAGAACAGTAAAAATAAGGATAAATGAAAGAAAAAGAAATAAAAGACGTGAATATAAAGCAAGCATATAACAACAAGGTAAATATAAAAAGGCGCACCATGCAAAAACAAGAACGAAATGCATACTCGAACAATATAGTAAAAGAAAGATTCTTATCATTGAAAGCAACTATTAACTCTGAGAGTGTTGTCGCTGTGTATTTTGTATTAATATAATAACATCAAAAAATACAAGTGAATTAGGCATTTTAGCTCGAAAGATGCTGCGCTGAGAAGCGTTTTTTCCTTTTATTATGATGATTCAGTTTCTGAGTTAAATATCTTCATTTCTTTTTCTGTGATGTAAGCACGTCTGAAAATCGATATTTTGAGTAGGGTACGGATGAGCGTGAGAACGAAAAGGAGAAATGACCTACACTCACTAATATCGCACACACCCTTCAAAAATATCGACTTATATAAAGAAAATCTCTTCAAAAGAACTTTAGTTCAATTGATTTCCATAACCTACGACTACTTATTTGATAAAGAAGTTTGGTTAGCAAGCGAGCAGCTACCACTGAAAAAGCATTGATATCCTTTGTCTGAGAATTTATCGCCTTATAAAGCGAGCAACACGTATTTTGAATTGGCGATGTGCTTGCATATGCGATAAGAAACAAAATTGTAGCGCAGCGAAATAAAAGATTTTTATTTTTGATCTGGATGCTCATGGCAGAGAAGCAACCATCCACATCCTCATTTACTTAGCTATGCATGCTTTATTCTTCTTACCTATGACAATAATGACTATTCTCTTGTCACATTCTTGAATTTATAGAAGAACGATGGCATCAAACTCAAAATCTAATTCGTGGCGAGTTAAAGTCACTTCTCTTCCAGCTTCCATCAGTACAGAACAATTAGCTCTATCATTGGACCTGTGTTCCTCACGAATCAATATTCCACTAATTCAAAGACGAGTCACTTATTTTGCTTGGATTACTGGTTTTCAGGATGAACAGGAAGCAAAAGAATTCGTGCATCGAAACTCAAAATTAAAATTTTCTAATTTACATATACAATTTATTATAGTTGGGCCTACACAAGACGATACGGATTCGCAACATCAAAACAAAAACTCACAGCAACGACCAAGTAAGCTTTTGTCCACTGATAAGAAACTACGCGAATTCCTATGTAGCGATACATTGGGTATCCCTAGAAGCATTAAGATCATTCTATTCTAAAGTAGTTTTCAAATATTCTACATAGGATATCTTTAAAATTTCGAGTAAAAACAATACTAAGAGGACTTCGTAAGTGGAGTTGTGAGGCCTTGATGTAGACACTGTCTTCTTCAGAAACCATGCCGACATCTATTGATGTATTTCCTTAATAATGGTAAACTGAATGTAGCATTTCTAGTGAAATTTTCCGACATGAAAATACCACATATGATGATACGCGAGTAGGTATGAAAGTTATATTCAGTTTTATAATGCTGATTTCATAGTTCAATAGTGTTTCGTTTTTTCCCACTTCAGCATAGTTAAAACGCAGAAATCTAAATGTTGTGCTACATTCTAGCGTCAGCTGCTCAAGGTTCAATGCAGGCTCCCGATGTTGAGTATGAACGTCAGCCTTGCCCTCATGCGAATAAAGGTTTATGTCGTTACAAAGATGGTGAGTGTAAATATCGTCATACAAGATGCCAAAATTATGATTCATGCTCACAGTCTAGTTGTCTTCTTGCTCATGCACCACGATCATCTTCCGTAAGTCAAAACATAGATACATTTTATCGTTAGCAGAAAAGCTCTATTTAACCTTTGGTTCGTGTTTAGAAACATTGTTTTAGTGGCATCCGATGTTTTAACGCTGATTGCCGATTCGAACATCCGGAAGGATGGAATGCTTGTAATGATGGAGTCCAGTGCACTAATTATGAGTGTATTTTTAACCATCCATCTGATCGGCCAAATAAATGCCCTAATGGAAATTCGTGCAATAATAATAATTGTAAGCTTCTTCATCCGAACAGGCGTATTGAGGTATGTTCATGGGGTTCACAATGTCGAAAATGGGATTGTACGAAAGCTCATCCGATCGGTCGAACTCAACTTTGTCCGGACGCAGATCATTGCACGAATAAGCCATGCTCTTACTTACATCCGTCTTCACATATCAAAATATACATTGAACAAGAAGCCGTTCATAACTTTGTGAAGCAACAAACATCAGAAATAATTGAGTTGAGTGGTGCCCAGAATAATTTTCTTCAATTTTCCGGCGTCAAAATCTTGGATACCATTCGCAAAGAACAAGGTATTAAAGAAGCAAATGTTAAGGATGGTAAACTTCAACTGTCAGGAAATAATTCAGCAATTACTAATATAAAATCTTATCTGAAACAAGCACTTCATGAACAAAATGTGACGATCACTAATAGCTTGAAGAAATATTTACAGTCATTCGCTAAAGGACGTTTGATGAAGAGATTTTTACAAAAATATTCTGTAGGAATTTCTTATCTCAAGATATCACCAAACGCTTCTTTGACTCCCACCAATGATATGAATACTGGTAAAAACCGTGTTGATGGCCATGATAAAGATGAAAGTGAAAAGCAATACGATAATGATCCTGATTTGGATCAATCCGAAGACGAACAAGAAGATGATGATGATGATGGAATGAGTGATATTTCTACTACATCTTCAAATGTCACGAATATTTCCGGTAATTTTAAACACCGTCGCAATTTTGCTCAAAAATTTGTACAAGTAACATTATGTAGTGATTCAGAAGATTCATTATCTAACGCCATAAAAGAATTACAAAGTTATAGTTTATACAATCAATCATGGACGTTAACACAAGATGAAATTACATACATTTTGAAACAACCACAACCAGGCAAACCTTCACAAAACAATACTAAAGTTCGTGACCAATGTTTTCAGATTAAATATTATCTCAATGATCTTGTGCAGTCTAGGGCGAATTCTATCGTACATATCTTTTTAAATTACAAAAATGGTGTATGGCGTGTGAAAGTGAGAGGATTCAAGGATCATGTAAATAATGCTGTGTCCAAAATAAAAAATTACCTGAATGATTTTGTTGAAACAGAAGTACAACTTCCTATTTCAAAAGCTATGACAATTTTTCTCCGAAAAAAAGTTTCGTCTGATGTCAGAAAACTGGAAAAAACTCATTGTATAAAAATAACAACTTTTTCGCCACCTATTCGCAAACATGTGAATGACGAAGAAGATGGTGATAATGATTGCTTAAAACTCACTGGTTCTAATTCACGTATTCATTCGGCACAATCAAGTGTTGAAAATTTTCTCGAAAGTTTAGCCGAACAAGAAAAACAATTTCCTTGCCATAGTTGGGATATTTCAAATAATATTTCCAAAATTATTCGCACACGTCTGAGACAAATGGAAGACTCAGATGATTGTGAAGCAATAGGATGGGTTTTACGCTATACAGCAACTGAAAGAAGAGATACTACACCAAAAGTTGCTATTTCAATAGTTGGTCGGAATGAAGAAGCAGTTGATGACGTAGCTGAACAATGCCAAGATATTGCAGAAGGATATATTATTTGGAAACCATCTGCAAATCAGTATCGCAACATATCTAGTGTGCTATGGGGAAAAGGGGGACCGTCTATCGATGAATTTCGACAACAATGGAAAACTGACATACGATTTGATCGAGATACAAGTACTATAACTATACCTGCACGATCGAAAATGATTGCAGATGATATCAAAGAAGCTCTACTAAATTTGGGAGAAGAAAAGAAAACTCGGATAAATCGTATCTCTGAATTCATTCCTATTCAATTAAATATTCGTTGTTTTGTAAATCAAGCTATTGGTTCCTTGCTCGATGAAGCAAAGTCTCAAAAAATTTTTGTGGAATCTAAAAATTCTAATGGATTGACACTCCATGGTCAATCTAATATTGTTACTGAACTCAAACAAAAGATCAATTCTATTATCGATGACATTGTACAAAAAAAAATTACGCGTCCTTTGAAATTATCATCGATCGAGTCAGATTTAATGCGAACCAATTCATATAATTTAGCAAAGCGTATTGAACGAGAAACGAATACTATTATTCGAAATGTTGAAGCAGACAAGACTAGTCTTAAATTAATGATTAATTATGATGATATTAGCTCGACTATAATTGCTGTTGCAAATGATCGTGGCCAAACAATTATCGTAGAGAAAGGTGATATTACGAAGGCAAAAAATGTCGATGCTATTGTAAATGCCGCAAATGGGTCATTATATCATGCGGGCGGTATAGATAAAGCAATTGCTGACGCCGCTGGTCCTGTATTTGATCAAGAATGTAAACAACTCATTGTTAAGAATGGAGATTTACCTATTCCTGCTGGTAAAGCAGTCAAGACAACAGCTGGTAATCTTCCTTTCAAATGTGTTATTCATGCAATTGGTCCTCAATATACTGGTGGTAATCAACAAGAGCAGCCATTATTATTCTTCAGTGTTTTATCAAGTTTGCAACTTGCTGAAGAGGAAAACTATACAAGTGTTGCTTTACCAGCCATTAGTTCTAAAACCTATGGTTTTCCATTAGCAGATTGTACGAATATTATGGTTCGTGCAGTAAAACAATTTTTTGCTGATTATCCACAATCAAAAGTAAAAAAAGTTATTCTACTAGACTTGGATGATGCAGCTTGTAATTCATTTGCACGTGAAGTTGCCATCGATCATAGCAATGCAGTTTTAGACAATGAAGATGATATTATGAACTATGAGTTGCCTCCGTTGACAGCTAAATGGTGTTGGCAAGACGATCATGATGAAAAAATAAATAATGACAGTGATATACGTAAAATCGAAAGTGCATTTCAACAATATTTAAAAACTTCAATTTCACCAGAATTGGAAATTGCTCCTGATAATTTAAAAAGTGGTACTATTGTTAATTATAGTATCCATTTTCGTCCTGATTTGAAGCAATTATTGACAAAGAATCCAAGTGCACTCAATAGTCGACTCGTATGTGGATATCAAATGAGAAAAGATACTGACTATACAAGGAATATTATTCGCTATCCAGTAGTAGTACAACAACAGAACCAAGTAAAATCTGTTAATTATCGTCCAAAACCATTAGATTCATATCACCTACAACTAGTCATGACAGAAGAAAATTGGAATATAACTGGTATTACAGATACAGCAGTAGAACAAGCACAAGAAGCAATTAGAGCAGCCATTCATTCTGCCACTATTTCAGAATCTTTCTCCATAAATCTGACCAAAGATCTTGATTATCATAAGAAAGAACTGATCAAAATTGCGACACAACAGTTAATTCAAATTAATTTTCAAGAAGAATGTTCAGAACAACTATCGATGATATTAAAAGGTTTCAAAGCAAATGTATCAGAAGCAAAATTAAAAATTGCCTTATACGCTCAAGATATCTTGAAAATGCAAGTAGAAAACGATGATGAATTGCGCATACCTAAAGAATGGGGTGATCAAAGAGAAGGATGTAAATTACTTGAAATTCCTAAGAATGATCCTACTTTTGCTCGTATTGAAAACCGTATGAAAGAAACTATGAATAAGGTGAAAATTGATAAAATTGAACGAGTACAAAATATACGCATGTGGAATCATTATGCATTTCATCGTCGAGAACTTAAAAAAGAACTGTGTCTTACGCCTAATTTACAAATTGAAATGGAACTATTTCATGGAACGAGAAGTACACTACCCAGTGAAATTTACAATGGTGAATACGGTTTTGATATGACATTTAGTACAAGTGGTATGTGGGGTCTTGGCACATATTTTGCTAAAAATGCTTCATATTCTAGTAGCAACTATGCTTACCAATTACCGAATGGGAAACGTCAAGTATTTTTAGCTCAAGTTTTGACAGGAGACGTATATGATTGTAATAGTGATTCATCCTTGCGTCGACCTCCAAAGAAAAATGAGACAATGTCTGGCCTACGATATAATAGTGTGTCAGGAGATACAGGAGACAGTAAAGTTTATATTGTGTACGAAAATCGAGTGGCTTATCCAACCTATTTGATTACGTTCACTTCATAAATTTCAAAATAACTTGCATTGAACTTGTTTTTCATACGTGCTTGAATCTGTAATGATTTTGTTATGCTTTTCAATAAAATAAACAACAAGATTTAGATAATAATGACTCTTTTAATAAGTTTTCGGTTACGGAATATTGCATGTGTTGAGAGGTGATTAACTTAGTTCATACGTATACAAAAAACAATCCTTAACCAAATGTTTTCATGTGAGTCTTGAGTACTTGTGTTAGCCTTTCAAATGGTATATTATTGGACAACCTCTTCTCTTGTAATAATACAAAATATAAACATAATAATGTGAAGATAAATTTTTCATAATCGATCC